TAACCGTCTTACCTGTACGACTTTTGTATCTTTTTCCAAATTTGTTTCCAATGGAACCAACAGGTCCACGTAGAACGCTTTCAGCTGTAAATGTTAATTTAATTTAGAGACAGGATTTTATTATTCGAGAAGAAATCATTATACTTCGACATCCTGAATTAAAAGTTAAAGGATACTTTTACAACGGCAATGTACATTTTAAAAAAGGCAATTAAATCTCAAGTTCGCAAGTTTCATCTGAATTTTTATAATGGCCAATTCCAATAAATTACGTCTTAATTCCTTAATTAAATTGGAACTTAAAATTAGAAGACCGCTTAAGAATGTAAAGTGCCGACGGTTTCTGAAGCAATCAATTCCCGTGAAAACTTTTAATAAGGAAATTGTGAAAGGTTCGCTTGGCTACAGAGTTTTATTTATTACAAACCAAACAAAAAGGAAACGAGAACACTGGAGAATTTTTTAGGGTTATTTTTTGAGCCTTTCGGTAGCTGTGGCAGTCATACAACGCTTGTATGTTCTACCGCCTGTCGATATTTTGATAATATTATCAGGAAAGAATACCGCAGGTAATCGATATCGGCGTCACCTTTCATGTACCAGAGGGCAAGAAGCAGCGCGTAATAAATCATGTAGCCGCGGTACTAGAAAGAAGTTACGAGAAGTTTCCGGAAATAGAAATATTGCACAGAAAAGTATAAGTATCTGACAGGATGTTGTCGAAGCAAGACAGCTGACATAAATAGTACATGTCGATATTTTGATATTATCAGGAAAGAATACCACAGGTAATCGATATCGGCGTCACCTTTTATGTACCCGCGAGCAAGAAGCAGCGCGCAATAAATCATACTGCCCCGGTACTGGAAGGAACTTACGAGAAGTTTCCGGAAACATTGTATTGAAAATTATAAGTATTTGACAGGATGTTGTCGAAGCAAGACAGCTGATATAAATAGTACGCGATCGTGAAATTTAAATAGTAAGATAAGAATCTATTCAGTGAAATAAATAACCTTTTGTAATATACCATATATCGAAACTTCTTTAAATAAATTGACATCATAAGAAAATTCGTTGTCACAGACAGTTGATTTCTATTTTAGTCAGCGATAGTTTAGAAGAATATTCAAATGCGTTAAAGTGCCTGTGATTTCTGTAAAAACGTGACTGTTGCTTTCTATTTTACGAAGATAAAACGAAAGTTAAAAATATGGCAGAGGATATGTGTCATCTACATCTACTGTGAGAAATCATTTTAGTTGTTATCGAGTATTCTTAGAATTCTTGAAATTGTTAAGTTTATCCAAAAAACTTTTGTTTTATTTGTATTCCATGTCAGGAAAGACGTTTTATTGAAGTGAGTTAAGAAGCAAGACAACACACAGGCTGTATTACTTAAAACGGTCGTGTAAATATGATCGATTTTGGCTACGTGAGCCGACATCGAATTACGGATTATTCCAGTTTTAACGTTTCCTTCCTTCCGACATAGTTCCTTTTAGCCATGCATTCGTCTTCGTGCCAGAACGAGATGTATTGTTGAAATTAGTTCCCAGAGAACAATGGACATAACGTTGATAGGAAACCCCTGTTATAACCTGTGACTAAGTGCCTTTATGATTACAGAAGTGATTTTACTTCCTCGTACTTCCCGTCACATATTACTAATTTCAACTAATACTAATTCCAAAGTAACTGATGTGAGAATTTATTAATCGCTTTCCCTTAGTCAATTGTCTTTACTCATTTTCTTTATTTGTTTGTTTATTACAATTTCACGCTTTAACTACTCTATCGATCATTATGACATTTTGTACACACATTGCCAAGACTATAGCAAAGGACATAGGGTACTTTTATTCAGAAAATAATATTGTTCCCGAAGGATAGAAAAATTAGTTTTATGTGATCGTTGATGATTTTTGACAGTATATAAGATATCAAAGTGAGCGAAAGCGTGAGTAAATATAATTAAACTAAATTGCTGTTTTATACACAACAACAGTGCGATAATTAAGTTTAACAGTCGATTATTGATTGTAAAAAAAATAATCGATTATTGCGATTAACGGTATTCATTGATTATTTCGATTTATTAATCGGAAGGATCGATTAATCCAAATAATCAATTATTGTGCTTGATCTTATATTTTTAAAAATTGAAAATAGTCGATTAATCAAATAATCAAAATCGATTAATCGGACCAATGTGGTTAACTATATCGAAATGTAATCTTTAGCAACTGGATTTGGTTTCATTACTTACAATGTTCATTTGTTGGTCTTGAATTTCTTTATAAACTTCGACAACTTTTATTAATGCTGAACCTGAAACAAAAAATGTTATTTATTGCACAAGTAGGAGCCTTGAAATATCCAAGAAATTATGAAACAAAGGTAAAAAGCGCAAACGTAATTTTAATCCGTTGTTAAATATTTGAACAATTTCACGAATCACTGTCATTGGCGTAATTAGACTAGATTTTCAATCCAACGTTGATCATACACAATTCAGTAGACCCTTTTTGCATTCATATATACTACATTAATAGCTAAAAATGATATTTTTTTTATATTTCTCCTTTATCGAATGGTTTTATTGTACTATCTCAAATTTTATTGGATGTCTTAACCTTACTTTAACTTAAAAAGAAATCAGAAATTTTTGTGTAACATAAGTAAGTCATTATGATGACTTTTAACTCCAATTAAGTACCAAGAACCATCTGTCAAGTTTTGAACGATAAGCTCACATATAATTAAACAAACTGTCCAGAATTGGGTTTAATTAATTGTTATTTGTGTTGTATCGTCGATGCGGTTGTAGGGCACTACCTTTGAATCGCTGCAAATTTGAAATCTGCCATTACGTTTGAATGTGCGACGGCCCTTGTTTGGCCTAATGAAAGTGGATTCAATATCTTTGTTTACGCAAACAATGCGAGGGTGAACGAACATCTACGGTATCTAAGTCTCGAGAGGACGATTGGATCACAATCCTCCAAATACGCGATCACATTAATTAAATGAAANTTTTATTAATGCTGAACCTGAAACAAAAAATGTTATTTATTGCACAAGTAGGAGCCTTGAAATATCCAAGAAATTATGAAACAAAGGTAAAAAGCGCAAACGTAATTTTAATCCGTTGTTAAATATTTGAACAATTTCACGAATCACTGTCATTGGCGTAATTAGACTAGATTTTCAATCCAACGTTGATCATACACAATTCAGTAGACCCTTTTTGCATTCATATATACTACATTAATAGCTAAAAATGATATTTTTTTTATATTTCTCCTTTATCGAATGGTTTTATTGTACTATCTCAAATTTTATTGGATGTCTTAACCTTACTTTAACTTAAAAAGAAATCAGAAATTTTTGTGTAACATAAGTAAGTCATTATGATGACTTTTAACTCCAATTAAGTACCAAGAACCATCTGTCAAGTTTTGAACGATAAGCTCACATATAATTAAACAAACTGTCCAGAATTGGGTTTAATTAATTGTTATTTGTGTTGTATCGTCGATGCGGTTGTAGGGCACTACCTTTGAATCGCTGCAAATTTGAAATCTGCCATTACGTTTGAATGTGCGACGGCCCTTGTTTGGCCTAATGAAAGTGGATTCAATATCTTTGTTTACGCAAACAATGCGAGGGTGAACGAACATCTACGGTATCTAAGTCTCGAGAGGACGATTGGATCACAATCCTCCAAATACGCGATCACATTAATTAAATGAAAGACAATCGACAACAACCACACAATGCATACTTTAACTCCGAACATGTATGTAACGGATGCAAAACTTGAATCAATTTAGGTCAATTTATACACACGTAAGCTACATGTCCATATGTACAACTTGATTCAATACCTACTAGTTAAACCCATATAATCAGTAAAGCCCAATTTATCGAAATAGTCATCCACACTGCATTGTGGCTCTTCAAATGTACCCACAATGCAAGCTTAAGGCAACGCTTGTATGTTCTACCGCCTGTCGATATTTTGATAATATTATCAGGAAAGAATACCGCAGGTAATCGATATCGGCGTCACCTTTCATGTACCAGAGGGCAAGAAGCAGCGCGTAATAAATCACGTAGCCGCGGTACTAGAAAGAAGTTACGAGAAGTTTCCGGAAATAGAAATATTGCACAGAAAAGTATAAGTATCTGACAGGATGTTGTCGAAGCAAGACAGCTGACATAAATAGTACATGTCGATATTTTGATATTATCAGGAAAGAATACCGCAGGTAATCGATATCGGCGTCACCTTTTATGTACCCGCGAGCAAGAAGCAGCGCGCAATAAATCATACTGCCCCGGTACTGGCAGGAACTTACGAGAAGTTTCCGGAAACATTGTATTGAAAATTATAAGTATCTGACAGGATGTTGTCGAAGCAAGACAGCTGATATAAATAGTACGCGATCGTGAAATTTAAATAGTAAGATAAGAATCTATTCAGTGAAATAAATAACCTTTTGTAATATACCATATATCGAAACTTCTTTAAATAAATTGACATCATAAGAAAATTCGTTGTCACAGACAGTTGATTTCTATTTTAGTCAGCGATAGTTTAGAAGAATATTCAAATGCGTTAAAGTGCCTGTGATTTCTGTAAAAACGTGACTGTTGCTTTCTATTTTACGAAGATAAAACGAAAGTTAAAAATATGGCAGAGGATATGTGTCATCTACATCTACTGTGAGAAATCATTTTAGTTGTTATCGAGTATTCTTAGAATTCTTGAAATTGTTAAGTTTATCCAAAAAACTTTTGTTTTATTTGTATTCCATGTCAGGAAAGACGTTTTATTGAAGTGAGTTAAGAAGCAAGACAACACACAGGCTGTATTACTTAAAACGGTCGTGTAAATATGATCGATTTTGGCTACGTGAGCCGACATCGAATTACGGATTATTCCAGTTTTAACGTTTCCTTCCTTCCGACATAGTTCCTTTTAGCCATGCATTCGTCTTCGTGCCAGAACGAGATGTATTGTTGAAATTAGTTCCCAGAGAACAATGGACATAACGTTGATAGGAAACCCCTGTTATAACCTGTGACTAAGTGCCTTTATGATTACAGAAGTGATTTTACTTCCTCGTACTTCCCGTCACATATTACTAATTTCAACTAATACTAATTCCAAAGTAACTGATGTGAGAATTTATTAATCGCTTTCCCTTAGTCAATTGTCTTTACTCATTTTCTTTATTTGTTTGTTTATTACAATTTCACGCTTTAACTACTCTATCGATCATTATGACATTTTGTACACACATTGCCAAGACTATAGCAAAGGACATAGGGTACTTTTATTCAGAAAATAATATTGTTCCCGAAGGATAGAAAAATTAGTTTTATGTGATCGTTGATGATTTTTGACAGTATATAAGATATCAAAGTGAGCGAAAGCGTGAGTAAATATAATTAAACTAAATTGCTGTTTTATACACAACAACAGTGCGATAATTAAGTTTAACAGTCGATTATTGATTGTAAAAAAAATAATCGATTATTGCGATTAACGGTATTCATTGATTATTTCGATTTATTAATCGGAAGGATCGATTAATCCAAATAATCAATTATTGTGCTTGATCTTATATTTTTAAAAATTGAAAATAGTCGATTAATCAAATAATCAAAATCGATTAATCGGACCAATGTGGTTAACTATATCGAAATGTAATCTTTAGCAACTGGATTTGGTTTCATTACTTACAATGTTCATTTGTTGGTCTTGAATTTCTTTATAAACTTCGACAACTTTTATTAATGCTGAACCTGAAACAAAAAATGTTATTTATTGCACAAGTAGGAGCCTTGAAATATCCAAGAAATTATGAAACAAAGGTAAAAAGCGCAAACGTAATTTTAATCCGTTGTTAAATATTTGAACAATTTCACGNGACTTTTAACTCCAATTAAGTACCAAGAACCATCTGTCAAGTTTTGAACGATAAGCTCACATATAATTAAACAAACTGTCCAGAATTGGGTTTAATTAATTGTTATTTGTGTTGTATCGTCGATGCGGTTGTAGGGCACTACCTTTGAATCGCTGCAAATTTGAAATCTGCCATTACGTTTGAATGTGCGACGGCCCTTGTTTGGCCTAATGAAAGTGGATTCAATATCTTTGTTTACGCAAACAATGCGAGGGTGAACGAACATCTACGGTATCTAAGTCTCGAGAGGACGATTGGATCACAATCCTCCAAATACGCGATCACATTAATTAAATGAAAGACAATCGACAACAACCACACAATGCATACTTTAACTCCGAACATGTATGTAACGGATGCAAAACTTGAATCAATTTAGGTCAATTTATACACACGTAAGCTACATGTCCATATGTACAACTTGATTCAATACCTACTAGTTAAACCCATATAATCAGTAAAGCCCAATTTATCGAAATAGTCATCCACACTGCATTGTGGCTCTTCAAATGTACCCACAATGCAAGCTTAAGGCGATTACAAAGTTGAACTGGTCGAAAAAGTCATGCACACTGTACTGTGGCTCCTCAAATGCAACCACAATGCAAACTAGAGGAGACTACAAAGTTGAACTGATTTAAAAAGTCATCCACACTGAATTGTGACTCTTCAAATGTATCCACAACGCAAACTAAAGAAGATTACAAAGTGAACTAATTGAAAAAGTCATCCACACTGCATTGTGACTCTTGAAATGCACCCACAATACAAGCTAGTGGAGACTATAAAGTTGAATTGAACTAAAAAGTCAACCACACTGTATTGTGGCTCTTCAAATGTACCCACAATGCAAACTAGAGGAGACTACAAAGTTGAACTGATCTAAAAAGTCATCCACACAGGATTGTGACTCTTGAAATGCACCCACAATGCAAGCTAGAGGAGACTACAAAATTGAACTAAGCGAAAAAGTCATCCTCACTACATTGTGGCCCTTGAAATGCACCCGCAATGCAAGTTAGAAGAGACTACAAAGTTAAACTGATTTAAGAAGTCATCCACACTCTATTGTGCCTCTTCAAATTTACCCACAACGCAAGCTAAATGAGATTACAAAGTGAACTAATCGAAAAAGTCATCCACACTACATTGTGACTCTTGAAATGCACTCACAATGCAAGGTAGAGGAGACTACAAAGTTGAATTGAACTAAAAAGTCATCCACATTATATTGTGGCTCTTCAAATGTATCTACAACGCAAGCTAAAAGAGATTACAAAGTGAACTAATCGAAAAAGTTATCCGCACTGCATTGTGACTGTTGAAATGCACCCACAATGCAAGCTAGAAGA